ACCTCTTCTCCAGATTCACTATACTAGATGAGGAATTGCTATAATCCGTATAAAAGCGAAGCTCTTCTACATCAGTCATATTTGCGCCCATGCTCCGACGGAAGACAAAAATTAACAGACCTAGAAACAGCATATGACCGCTGTTCTGGCCATGATATTAAAATTCTGCTAGGAGATTTTCATGCGAAAATCGGAAAGAAGATTTTTTTTGGACCCCACTGTCGGAAAATTCAGACTACGTGAAGAAACATCCGATAACGGAATGGGGTTGATTGACCAGATTCAAACATCTCGATATACAAAAGGCCACATGAATATCTCCTGATCATGCAACGAGAAATCAAATTGATCATGTTGTGGCAGACGGAACACTACCTTATAGCTGCCAAGGTTCACACTACTCTTAATGCAACAACAAATGTGAGATCTTATGTAACACGACGTCGAAAAGCTGCAAACATAACAGGTAGCAGAAGCCTACTCTGCTCAACTTACCAAGTGTCGTAATGCTACTGATATGAAAAACGCAGCGTAAAGGGCAACCCTGCAAACTGTAACAACACGTAATGCGATGGGGAATTATTGGGTGAAAAGGAGAGAGGAGAAACGTATTTTCAGAAAAAAAGAAACTGAACGCTTTGGTGCAGGCACATCCTCTTGTAGAGATTAATTTGGAAACCTGGTGACAAATACAGATAGCGTGTTGAGGATCTGGAAGGAGCATCTTAAAAATCTTCTGGTATCAAACAGTGGCTGTTAAGAAGATACCCAGAACCAATAAGAGATGACGGTATAATCAGTCGGCTAAAGAATAATAAAGCAGAAGTTGCTGATGGGCTACCAGCCGAACTATTCAAGACTGGTGGTCAGATGCTGGTCAGGAGTTAAACTTGGAAAGAACCTATCGGAGCCCTTTAGGCAGTTTGTTGTGTGATATTTTTAACATCCTGCTGGAAAAGGTCATACCTGAGGTGAACTGAAATGGCACTCAGTACACAAAACAACCGATGTTACTCGCCTACTCCGATGACATCGGCATGAAGGGTCGAAAATTGCGAGCGGTAACAGCCACCTTTGAACAAATTGAGAAGTAGTCTGCCAAAGTGGGTCTGGCAAGACGTCTAGTAAACTCGGACCAACTGTGGAACTTTAGAACTACAGCTTCGAGGTAGTCAACGATTTTATATTACTGGGTACCGTCATAAATAAAACTAATGACATCAGTTTTAAATTTGGAGAAGGATAGTGTTTGTCATGAGATGCTACTATAGATCATAATAAGTAAGACCAAAATAGTTAATATTTTCCTATTTTTACCGAAATAACGCGGGGAATTAGAAAACGTGAAAAGTAAATGTTGCAGTGGAGTCATATTTTAATGATTTGAAGCAAAGACAATTTCGGACAATTGGACTTCCTCCTCGAGCCCACAAGTTCATCAAATCATTTAAAACAAATAGAAAAAACATGTTTTCCGGGAAGAGAAAAGGAATTTTTACCATGGGTGTAAATTTCATTAAACAACCCCAATGCACGTAAGGAAGAAGAGACAACATAATCGCGCATATTTGGCTTTACAAATAATATTTTTATAGAAAACCACGCCTTAGATGCATCTAAAAATTAATAAAGCAACACCTATTTGCTTTTATAAAAAAACACACCTTACATACTTAAAAAAAAAAAATAATAAGTAAGACCAAAATAGTTAATATTTTCCTATTTTTACCGAAATAACGCGGGGAATTAGAAAACGTGAAAAGTAAATGTTGCAGTGGAGTCATATTTTAATGATTTGAAGCAAAGACAATTTCGGACAATTGGACTTCCTCCTCGAGCCCACAAGTTCATCAAATCATTTAAAACAAATAGAAAAAACATGTTTTCCGGGAAGAGAAAAGGAATTTTTACCATGGGTGTAAATTTCATTAAACAACCCCAATGCACGTAAGGAAGAAGAGACAACATAATCGCGCATATTTGGCTTTACAAATAATATTTTTATAGAAAACCACGCCTTAGATGCATCTAAAAATTAATAAAGCAACACCTATTTGCTTTTATAAAAAAACACACCTTACATATATAAAAAAAATTAACTAAAACCCAAAAATTTGTTTATAAAAACGCCTTATGTGCATCTAAAAATTAAAAAAAGAAAAAACAACAACGCATTACTAGCATCTACAAATTAAAAAACAACAACGCCTTAATTGCATCTACAAATTAAAATTCAGCACAACTTTAATTTTTAAATTTGAGAATTGCAATTCTGCCATACTTTCGAAAATATCGGTTTGTTCGGAAACGGTACATGATATCGTAAAAACTAACGGCAAAATTAGGCACAAGATGTGAAATTTTTTCAAACAAAAATGTTTTCTTTTTCTCGAATAACTACGTCAGTGTTTCGAAAAAAGAAAACCAATTTTCCAAATTTCTTCTAATACAGGTTGAGGTTTTTATATATGTTTGCGTTTATGCAAAATATGAAAATAGAAATAAAAACACAATTGTTTTAGAATTTTTGACCAAACGTATATTTTGTTCTTTTATTGAGAATTGTTCGTGGAACAGTATAATTAACTTTTTCTATAGGGTTTAATGGTTTCTGGTCGTGAACCAAAGAACGAGTGTAATGTAATTAAAAGCGAAATTGTCTCAAAGCGTCGCTTTGACATAGCTACTCGTTATATTTTGCCACTACATTTTGTCTTTAGTACGAAACACTAAAATACGTATATAAAGGTAGTGAACAAGATCTAACGGTGGGGTACAATTTACTTCAATTCAAAAGGAATTATATTTCAAATTAATCAATATCGATTAAGTATTGTTGTTCTCCAAGACCTGCTGGGGTACCGGTGAACATTCTGAGAACCTGTGCTTGCAAACTATATTAACACCTTGCTGCGTTTTGAATCTTTCGCTGTCTTCGGGAAAATTTCCCACGTCCTTTGGTCTTTAAGCGTAATAATAAAATATAAATAAAAAGTACTGTATTAAAACATGTTGGTTTGTACCCCCTATGAACCTTGGAATTCCGCGTTTTTTTGCTTAGTTTTGTCTTCATTTGGGTCGCCCCATAAGATATTGGTGACTTTTCCTGTCCCCTCATTATCCCAAAGGGTTTTGTGGGTCTCATTCGCCCATTCCCTCATTTCTTGGCGTGTTTCGGTTTGGCGGTATTCACATCTATTGTGGGTAGTTCAGTAGCACTCCTGGCTAGTTGATTTGTTATCTCGTTGCCTATGATTCCTTAGTGAATTGATACCCATATAATTCGTACAGGTCCTTGTTGTGAGAAATCATTAATGGTATTTTTACATTCCAGTACAGGTTTGGATTTAACTGTTTTGGAAGCTATTGCCTTTATAGCTTGCTTGCTGTGCTCTATCTGGTATTGTAATTTCGCACCGTGTCACTACTCTCGTTTCAGGTATGCGGTCTGAATCAAAGGTATTGAATGTTGACTCAGTAGTTGTCTGTAATATGTTTTTGTGCGGTGTGTTGTGTCCGGTGTCTATCCACTCGTCCATTGCTTTAAGTCTTAAAGCTGCAACCCCCGCTTCACATTTTATTTGGATGTCTATTGGATGAATATATACTATTGTCTCCAAGACCCTAGATGGTGTTGTACGCATTGCTCCACATATTCCTAGGCAACACGTTCTTCGTACTTTCTGCAACGTTTTTACGTTACATTTTTTATCCATTGCTGTCCACCAGACAACAGACGCGTATGTTAGAATTGGTCTAATAACGCTCTTATAGATCCAGTGCATCACCATTTAGAGCCTACGGCTGTTCTGCAGAAACACCAGCATCTTTGGGCCTTGTCAGCCCTTTGCTGTATGTGGTCTTTTTTATTTAAGTTTCTTGTCTAGAATTACTCCCAGATACTTAACTTTGTTTGATATGGCTATCGTTTTGTTTGGGATGAAGGGCTCTCCATACTGACCTATTTATGTCTTTCTAGTGAAATGACATATCTCCATTTTGTCCGAATTTACGTTTAAGCCCCTCGGCTTTGCCCAATCGTATGCGACTTTTAGCACCGTTTCGGCTTTCCTGCATAGTAAGTTTGGATTCTTTCCCCTAAGAAATATTATAACGTCATCTGCATAACAGGCTGGTTCAAATCCTTCGTCGGTTAAGTTCCTTTGATTGATTTGATTGATATGTCATGTATGCTACAGCTTATCCATCTATTCCTTAGCATATAGTTAACCCAGTCTATGATTGCCCGGTCAATTTGGAAGGTATCTAAGGATTGGATCTTCTTCATCTTCTCATGTAAAGCGGTTTTCGCTGATCTCCCCTTTACATACGAATGTTGTTTATACTTCAGCGTATCATTGGGTATATTGCTCTTTATCATGGTGTCGATTGACCGTTCCATGGTTTTGAGTAGGAAAGAAGTTAGGTTTATGGCCGATATGATTTTCGTGTGACGTAGTTTGCCATGCCGGGCTAGGGTATGAAGACTACCCTGGCTTCCTGCCAGGCTTTAGGTGTGTACGCCAACCTTAAACATGCATTAAAGAGTGCGGCTAGATGTGGTGATAAAAATACCACCTCTCTTTGAAATAAAGCGGGGAAGACGTTATCCGGTCCTGCCGCTTTCAATGGTGAGAAGCTTGTTAGGGCGTCTAACACCATTGACTTGTCAATAATAGGTTCCTCTGATCTCTCATCCCTATCTGTCATGACATCGTCCATTGTCGATGTGTTCGATGGGAATTGAGCAAAATTTCGTATTTAGTTTTAATACATTTACACGATTAGTAATGCTTTTCCATATATTTTCTATTATAAATACAAAAACTTAACGTGCGTGATGTATATTCAAATAATACATTTTTTAAAACTTAATCATCTACTCACTCATATTAAGGAAGAAAAAATTTGAAAACAAATGCGTTTAACTATTTGTGGAGAAATGGCTTATAACCTACTTGCATATAAACGTTATACTCTGTATTTATCTTGATACTTACATTGTGCCTCCATTCAATACGATAGACGGGTGGTTCAGCCTTGACCAAACAGTCAAAATACACATCTGAACCTTCTCTTATAGTGTTGGGGTTTAATGATGTTCCTAATTGAACATAGGATTCTGGAGCATCTACAATAAATAGTAACAACACAAATAATTACATAAATAATATAATATATGTTATATGTGCTGCAGGTGTTATTTCGAGGTTTTTAATTTGAAAATGTTTAATAATTATACATGTGTAAAGTCGTTCTTAATAAACTGTACATATATAGTGATTTAACCAATCTTATCTCGTTTACAGTGCACCATTGGGTTTTGTGTTAAAAAATATTTTTAAGTTTCTTTTATAATGTGACTTAATTTGTTTATTACATACAGTATGTCAAGAACCTGTTTACACATTGAATAAATAACACATTTTCAATTTTGTTAGCAATATATATAAATGTTTCTTATTATTAGAGTCATTTTCAATTTTTTTTATAATTCTGTACATATGTACAGAAAAAATAAGAATTACAAATTTTAAAACACCGACCGAAAATAACAGTTATTTTTGAAAAAGCTCTTCATGTTAGAGACATGGGACACCTATAGTGTCATATACCAATAGATTCGTATTGACGAGCCCATTAAGGATATTCAATTCCCATGTGAAGACTTATTTTTTAATGGAAAAATAACCGTTGATTTTTAATTAAAATTATTTTTTATTTACGTCACAAAATAAATGTTATTTTATAACTGATTTGATATTACTTATAACCGTTACCAGGGACGTGCGCAGAGGGGGGCCGAGGGGGCCCTACATATTCAGGTTTTTATTTATTTTTTCTTACTAAGGGCATATATGAAGGATTGGTGATCGGAAAAATTACCAATTTAGCTGTTTCATACACGCAAATTCTTAATGTATGGTCCATATTATATCCTTATCATTAATTGCAGAGTTTTCTTTCTTTCTGAAAGTACTTTACATAGAAAGCCCTTTGGTCTACCTTCTTAGCTAAGAGACGCACTTAATGCTCTGTTTGAAGCGTATCTATTCAAATGAAAATGAAAATCTTTCTCATATTCGGAAATATACAAATTTATGTATCTGCATACTCAGTCGTTTAAAGATTCCCTATCGCTTTTTACTCATTCTTTAATTTTTATTTTGCTTAATTTCGTCCTTGGTATTTTACCATAAGTTTCTTTTTACGTGGAAACTAGTGGTTTTGTGATATCTGCAAATCCCTTTACGAATCGTCGATAGTAATTACAGAGTCGTAAAAATTATCACAATTGTCAAAGTGTAACAGGGTATGAAATTTTGACAAGTCATCTACCTTCTTCCTTGTAGTTTTTATGCCTTCACCAAAAACTGCAAACCCTAAGAATCATACTTCCTACATCGATATATATATATATATATATATACAGATCATACCAATATAATCCTTCAGTATGTCGTCGAGTGCCCGTTGCAAAATGGAGGGCGCATTCTTCAACCCGAATGGCTACCTGGTAAATTCATATTTACTAGCATTGACGGAGTACTCGTTTTTCAATATCTTCCTCTCTTAAAGGGATTTTGTGAAATCTAATTTTTAGGTTAATAATAGAAAACAACCCATTTCCTTCCAAGCCTCGGCAAAAGTAATTGGATATTTATATACTATGGTCATTGAGTTTATTTCCTAAAGACTACTACTACACGATATTTTTTAGCCTTGATGCATCTACTGTTTTGGGTACTACAGAAATAGAAGAATTGTATGGGAATGTGATAGTCTTATTATTTCATCTTTGAGTACCTCACGGGGTTTCAGACAACAACAACAAAATATTTAGTTTTTAGTTCAGTGTTGTCTTTATTTACTTAGCTGTATGAAATGCTTTTTAAATAGCGATATTATTAATTTTCACCTTTTCGTCAATTGACCATGGGTAACTGTTGGCGAAGCTGTTTAATTAATATTAAAAAATGAATGACAGGCAAAGGGAAATATGGGTCGTAACAGGCAAAAGGGAAAATGAGATAGACATATTTCCTTTAAGAGAATTTCTATTTTTAATAATAATATTTACTGACTTTGGCTATATAAAAGTGAAACAATTTGAATTACACCAGAAAATGTATTTTTGGTCTATAAATTTAATTAAAAAATCATTTTCAGAAAACTCAAAGAAAACGCTTTTTACATATAAACTGGTATAGAGTAAAATTTTTTTCGATTAAATTTTATAGAATTTGAACCAGACCAGCATTCCATATATACAAGGTGACCCAGGAATTGAATTAATGTCTTCCTTTGCTTTTAACACAAAATATATTTCAGAAAATCGTAATTATAGTATTGTGAACATATAATTTATTTAGAAAAAATATTTTTATTTATTTTTTATACTCTACACCATAGTGTGTTTGTGTGTTACTCATCGAAATACTCATTTCCAAGCTTTTAAAGTATACATATTCTCCGTCCGTCCGTATGTTGTAATTACGCTATCTTTCGTAGGAATTGAGATAGCAAGCTGAAATTTTGCATAGAGTTGTCATTTGTCTGCGAGCAGGTCAACTTCGAAGATGGGCTATATCGGCCCAGGTTTAGGCATAGCACACATATATAGGTACCCCAAATTATGCGTTATTTTAAGGATTTTAGACGAGGTGGATGGAGGATATACACATTTGACGACTTCTTGTTTTGATTGGCTTGTGACGGCCAATAAAGACTTCCAAGTCTACTCGGGTAACATTATAAATAAAACTTGATTTGAAGTGTCCCTAAAACAAATTGATAAATAACCAATTATTTGTTAAAAACCGATAATTTTAATTGTTTTTTAATATTTTGGATAATTGGAAATTAATGTTATGACATTCAAATGCAGTTCAATAGGAATGCATTCCGTAAAAGTACTTTTTGTTTTTTAAATGTGGCTTGTTGTCCCTGATGAACCTAGTGTTCATAGCACTGGGTACCAAATGTGTTTTTATTGTCTAAATGTTGTTGTGCATTATTGACATATTTCCAAACTTGACTATTGGAATGATGTTCTGTCTTTCAAGTGCTTTCAAAGCCTTGAGCCATACTCTGGTTGTCCCATCGTTATTATATAACATCATTTTGGTTTCATCGCAAAATATTACGCCATTGAAATATTCAGTCAGGTATGAACCGAATGAAAACCACTGATCTTCATTTGCTGCAAATAGTAAGGGTATTTTGCCTGCTGATCTTGATAAGTATTTATTTTTTAATATAGTCTGTCGAATTGTTTCCGACAAACTTTAATACCACACACTCTTCCTCGAGCTCCCTCGCAAACATTCTTATGGAAATTTGAGAGTTTTGCATAAATTTTGTAAGAATTATGCGCACAGTACGCTTTTTTTTTTTGGCTTCGGATCACCTCCTCGTCTCAACTCTAATCTTCCCTTGTTTTGTGGTTAATATGTTGTTAATTGTCTTTATTGAACATGAAAACATTTCTGACACTTTTCCCGACTGGTGACTGTAATGCAAATGAATTACATCATATGATAAGCTTTGGCCTGGAATTTCTTTAATGCTCTATTTCAAGGTGTGTTGCGCACGATTACAAATTCTTCATCAAAAGATTTCCAATAAGCTAGAGCACAGACATGCGTCGTTAATGGCGTCCGGAGAATCGCGACGCAAATCGAATCACCTTTTTCTATACATATAAAAAATGCACTGAAATTTAATTTACAGGTGAAAATATTCAAAACAAAGCAAACAATTTTATATTTTTGATAAAAAACAAGCATGAATACTTTTTTAATTATTCCATTTACTTAAAAAAATATTTATAATTATTATATCCATTTACTTAAAAAAATGTTCATAATTATTATATAACAAAACAATAAATTAAGGGAACCACCCACCCCCCCCCCCCCCTTTCTTGATTTTATTTTTTCAAGATTTTCAATGGGCTGGTAAATAAATACCAATGCTTGTTAAGGTTTGTAACTTTGCACATATATATTTGAAGATTTAAAAGAGAAGAAAAATAATTTACAAAAAAATTTGGAAACTGTTGTTTTTGTAATTAACCCTTTGAGCCCCGAATTTTTTTCCGTGACAATAGAACTATTTTCTGTTCACAGATTTAATGGATCTGTCATAAATAGGATATGAACAAACTTTGACGTCGCTACATCCTTGCATTCGGGAGATACAGTACCTTCTTTGCGAAAACTATAAGTCCAATATCAACAAAAGCAAATGCAATATCGGCAAAAATATCACTTTTAATTAATCTTTAGGTTCTCTTTTACAAGGCTCAACAACAATTTTGAGGGTACTATTCGTACATTTCGAATACGAAACGATTTAAATAATTTGGACTGTATACACAAATTGGTACTGTACACATTTTTGCCCTCTTCTCTATATTGAAAGGCTCATAACTTTACCAAAAATTTTAATTTTTTAGATTTTTCTTTTGATATGTGTCGTCCATAATTAGGTCTTGACATATGTATTCCCAAAAATATATATTTAATAATTGTGTATTAAATATAAGCTCTAAAACATTTTGTTGCCTGTGGGCAACATTGAGCCACAAAGGGTTAAAGAGAAGTCCTTATTTTTTATGGCGGGCATGATAACTCCTCACTGGAACATCGGAATCCGAAAATTCCAACGGTGTTAGAAAGAGTACATGTCTGGCTCTCGTATGAACTAGGATTATTGACTTCGCTCTAAAATTAATAAAATGCCGGACCTTTGAAAAAATATTTTTCGAAAATCGCTGATTTTTAACCAAAAACCAAGTTAAAAAATAAGGAAGATATTCACCGATTGGCTTTATCCGAGTTCATACGATAGCTATACACTCACAGAGAAACGTGTAAAAATTTGGAATCGATTGGGTTATTAATTTTTGAGTTATCGTGCCCGCCATTCGCAAAAGAGAAAAACGCGTTTAAAGTTTGAGAAGCCCTTTAGCCGTCATTTGATGCTGACACAATAAATCGGCTATATCTTCAAGAGTTCTTGAGATTTTCACATGAAAAGTTGTAGGGACATTCTTGAATTAGTGTAGATTTGAATTAAATCGAAAATTTTTTGACCCCGAGAATGGGGGGGTCCCCTTAAGAAAAA